ACAAAGAAAAACTTCAAATCAAACAAACATCCTGTGGCCCATCAGATGGACAAAATGGAGAAAGTTTGCTGACATTACTTTGGTAATAGTGTGGATTAATAGGCAAGCTCATAAATTGCTAGTGAACGGACAGGTTGTGGGTTTTTTTTGTTTGTTTGTTTTCTAGAGACAGGGTTTCTCTGTGTAACAGCTCTGGCTGTCCTAGAACTCAGAGATCCATCTGCCTCTGCATCCTGAGTGCTGGGATTAAAGGCATCACCACCCCTGCCTATTAAAAGAACAGACTGTTGGCCGGGCGGTGGTGGCGTACGCCTTAATTCCAGCACTCAGGAGGCAGAGCCAGGCAGATCTCTGTGAGTTTGAGACCAGCCTGGGCTACCAAGTGAGTTCCAGGAAAGGCGCAAAGCTACACAGAGAAACCTTGTCTTGAAACCCGCCCCCCCCCCAAAAAAAAGAAAAAAAGAACAGATTGTTACAACCTGTTTTATTTTATTCTAAGTTATACTTTTTTTGAGACAGGATTTCATGTAGTCCAGGCTGTCATGGAACTCCTTATGTAGCCAAGGATAACCCTGCACAGCACACTGATCTTGTCTCCACCTCCCAAATACTGGGATTTTAGGTTTGAGCCAGCATGCTAGATAGTAAACCACTTTTAAAGATGGCTTGAAATTTAAAATTCACAAAGCCAAGCTGGGCATCGCTATAGAATATTATTTTAAGATGTGCTACATTTGTTTATGCTGTGAACATTTCCTTAATGATGCAAAGATCTGTTGTATTTTTTTTATGTTGCATTTGTTTAACTCTGTGAAGCTGTGTCACTGTGCCTGTCTAAAACACCTGATAGTCTAATAAAGAGCTGAATGGCCAATATTGTAGCAGGAGGAAGGATAGGCAGGGCTGGCAGGTAGAGAGAATAAAAGAAGGAGAAATCTGGGAGAAGGAGCAAGAGAACAAGGAGAGGAGGATGCCAGGGGCCAGCCACAGAGTAAAGTGAAAATAAGATATACAGAAGTAAAAGAAAGGTAAAGGCTCAGAGGCAAAAGGTACACGGGATAATTTGAAGTTAAGGAAAGCTGGCTAGCAATAAGCCAAGCTAAGGCCAGGCATTTATAAGGAAGAATATGCCTCCATGTGTGACTTATTTGGGAGGTGGGTGGTGGGCCCCCTAAAGAGCAAAAACAACCAACAACAGGGTATGCTAGCCACACCTCTTAATCCCAGCATTTAGTAGAGAAAAACAAGCAAATCTCTGAGTCCAAGGCAAGTCTACATAGTTCCAGGACAGCCAACATTACACAGTGAGACCCTGTCTCAAAAACAAAACAAAACACAGAAAGCCACTGGCCCAACAACTTCCCTTTAGCAGCTTAGGCTATAGATAAAGCTTACATATGCAGAGGAACACACCACTCTATACTAGCTGAGTTCCTGGTAGTTTTTAAATGTTTTTAATACTAACGCTAACTGAATATTAATTACAGCTTTGTTTTCAACTCATTCCTCTAAGAATTATAAAGACAGAACCAGGCCATTCAGGAGGCAGAAGCAGGAGGATCTCTGAGTTCAAGGCCAGCCTGGTCTACAGAGTGAATTCTAGGACAGCCATGGCAACACAGAGAAACCTTATCTTAAAAAACCAAAACAAGGGGGCTGGAGAGATGGCTCAGAGGTTAAGAGCACTGACTGCTCTTCCAGAGGTCCTGAATTCGATTCCCAGCAACCACATGGTGGCTCACAACCATCCGTAATGAGATCTGGTGCCCTCTTCTGGCCTACAGGGATTCATGCTGTATACATAATAAATAAATAAATCTTTAAAAAAAAAAAAAAAACAAAATAAAGAATTATAAAGATAATCAGAAAAGCCTGCATATCCTGAAGGCATCTAAATTCATGTATCCTTAAAACTCTTGCTAAAAGCATCTGTATTAATTGCTGGTCTTGTTGCTACAAGTTGCTCACCCAGGTACCTGCAGGGAGGGCTTATTCATGGTTTCAGTCCCAGTGGATACTGTCCATGACAGGGATGGTCAGGCAGTAGTATAAGGCTGTGGGCCATACTGTGCCCAGTCAAGCAGCAGCAATAAGCACTGGGCTCAGCTGGTGTTCACAATCATGATTTATTTACTTAAAATGAACAACTTCCAAAAAACGATAGTAAGAATCACTGGTATCATTGTGGAATCAACAGTAAATAACTCTTGCCTAGACAGCTGCACTTACCAAATTTCTACATCAGACATTTGTGCTGAAATGCTCCAAACTGCATTACTGCTACCAAAATACTCTCTAGCTGGGTCTCTGCCAGTCAAGCTCCATGAAGAACAGGTTCAAAGTTCATGCACTTTGTCCGCTTCTTAACGAAACCTGCTCAATCTGCATCTCACGACCATTAAGTTTAGATATTGTTTACAAAGTGTGATCCAGGACTCTTAAGGCTAGAATATGAACAGATTAAAGTGGTTCCTTATTCTGGTTCACATAGGGAGCCCCTGAGCTGGAAACATGGCATTTAAATATCATGCTATTGTACGAGGGGTCTTAAAGCTGCGTTTGGTCCTGTCCAAAAAGCTGAAAGACCCAACTAGGTGTCCTCCAAGTCACTTCCTTGTCTCTGAGGGCCAGCTACCATTCCACTTCATGCCTGGGAGCCTAGCACTCCTGGGAGTGACTGGGAGCCAGGATATCCTAGATTCATGTTACATGAGCCAGTAGCAGCTGGCAGCTAATTTCTGGTGCCTTGCTCCTCCTTACTGGGTCAAAGGCTTCCTATGAGCTGTGCACAGTCCCAGTTCCTTGAACTACCAAATAGCAGGGCTTCTAGAGCCTTCCTCTCCTCTCATGTAAGCTCCTGTATATTTTTACCATCTTATGCTGTGGGATGTTCTGTATGGCAAATGTGTTGCTAATTAGTCAATAAATAAAACACTGATTGGCCATTGGCTAGGCAGGAAGTGTAGGCGGGACAAGGAGGAGAATAAAGCCGGGAAGTGGAAGGCTGAGTCAGAGAGACACTGCCAGCCACCACGATGACAAACAGCATGTGCAGATGCCGGTAAGCCACGAGCCATGTGGCAAGGTATACATTAATGGAAATAGATTAATTTAAGCTGTAAGAACAGTTAGCAAGAAGCCTGCCACAGCCATACAGTTTGTAAGCAATATAAGTCTCTGTGTTTACTTGGTCGGGTCTGAGCGGCTGTGGGACTGGCAGGTGAGAGAGATTTGTCCTGACTGTGGGCCAGGCAGGAAAATTTGAGCTACAATCTTATTCCTCTTTTGGTGGTTCCAGGGGTTAAACTAAGGGCTTTGCAGACACCAGGCAAGCACTCTTACCACTGAGGTCCATCCCCGGCCTTACCTAAGGCTGTTTATGGAACCACTTAGAGCTGGACCTACAGTTTTGAATTAGCAGTGGGTCCTCCCGGTGCTTCCACTGGCAAAAACAAACTCTGCTAACAGCTCGCTGCTCTATACAAGTAAATCTGACTTTGAGAACCTTTTTAAAGATCACAGTTGTGTCAGGGGAGGAGCATACACACCAAGGTATCCGTGTGGAGGGCAGAGGACAACTTGCAGTCTTGGTTCTCTCCTTTCACCTGTGGATCCTCCGGGTGGAACTCGGGTCATCGGGCCTTGTGGCAAGCGCCTTTACCCATCCAGCCACCTCGTTAGCCTTGATTCTTTCTTCGTTCACCCTGTGGAACAGCAGTTCTCACCCTTCCTAATGCTGCGACCCTTTAATACAGTTCCTCATGTTGTGGTGACCCCCCTAACCATAAAGTTATTTTCGTTGCTACTTAACTGTAATTTTGCTAGTTATGAATCATAATACAAATGTCTAATATGCAGGATATCTGGTATGTGGCCTTATAAAAGGGTCCTTCGACCCCCGAAGGGGTCTCGACCCACAGGTTTAGAGCCCTTGCTCTAAATCTCTGAAGTCTTTGACTTGTCTTTCAAGTTCTGCATACTTATTGAGCTTCTCCTGAACCTCCCTCAGTGAGTGCACACTCTCCCGAACCACCAATAGACAGGGACAGTGTCTGTCTGTCTGTCGACTCAGTGATTCCCAAACACTGTGTTCCCCTCTATCAAGCTTTTTCAATGAGAAGTCTTGTTAGGAAAGACAGCCCCAGCCAGGATATCTAAGGCAGGACTAAAGCTGGTGACGTAGTCCTCTGAAGAATGTGATCCGGGAACCTACACAATGGCCTCAGTGGGTAGAAGCACTAGTCACAAAGCCTGAGGACCCGAATTTCATCCCTGAACCCATGGAAAAGGAGGAGAGGACTGACTCCACCAGTCATCCTGCAGCCTCCACACATCACAGGGCAGTGGGGGATGAACACTTTCACACTAATAATAATAGAGAGCTGTTTTTCCCTGGGGCCCCTTTCTTCTCTGGAGAGTTCCTTCTCGCTTCCCCTGTCTACTCCAAACAAGACACTTGCTGCTCTTCGGTCATCTTTCAGCTGGATTACTAATCATCTGGAACACAGGCCTATTCTGCCCACCTAAGTTCTGCCAGTGGGCTATGTCTCTAGCCCTCAGCTCCCTATCTTGTAATGGGCAGAGTGTTCCCTGAGAGTTAGGAAATGCTGCACACGACACCTACAGCTGTGAAGCTGCTATGTGGCCAGTGAGAAGACTCAGCAGGTAAATGCACAGGCCACCAAACCTGACAGCCCGAGGTCAATGAGTTCAGTCCCTGAGACACCGCAGTGACCAACCCCTCCATGTCTTCTGACCTCCACGTGTTCTGTGAAATGTAACTTAAATTCTCTTCTTTGTAAGCTGCAGTGCTTAAAAGTGGGGGTGGGAGAGGATGACGACTAAAATTCCCCTGAACCCTCCAGGGCTAGCCCTTAGGAGGCTGATGCAGGAGGACCCAGAAGTGGAGACCTGACCACACTACCTAGCAAGATTCTGTCTGAAACGGTAAAGACACACTAGATTAATAGTGCAAGGATATTTAAATAAGAAGCCACGAGTCAACTTTCAAATGTTTTATTTTTAGTGTTTTAAAACATTTTAATACAACAAAGATATAAAATAATATATATTAGTTAAATCTGGATTTAATTTAGAATCAGGTATTTACTTATATACAATACTGTGCTTCAAGGTATGGCTACCACAGGAACTTTCACATCTTCAAGTACCACCAGTTTCTCTGTGGACAGGGAGACCTGCAGGTAGAATTCCCTAAACTAAACACGCCTGCCTTAGTCCACACAAACTGCTTCTCCAATGAGTACAGTTTCGCCTCTTTGCTCCACAGCAGAAACAGTTCATTATCCTAACAATCCCGAATCCTTCAAATGAAAAATCATTCAAATTAAACATCTGAAACATGTTAATAACAGGCTGTTTAGTTCTTCAGAAAATCCAGTAGCTCAGATTAAAAGATGTGAAATAACAATGAAAAACAAAAACAACTTCCTAACATTCCTTCCCTCATCAAAGCACAAAGCTTCCTTATGCCAAGACAAGAAATACACAGAATGAAGAGTCCTTGTTTAACATACAGTAGAATGTATCCTCAAAAACAACTTAGTGTAGCTGGAGAAATAGCTTAGTTCATAGACATTTGTACTGAACTCGATACAATAATTTTTCACATTAGTAATGTGGAATTAGTGCCACTGAATTGACAGGCAAATCCACAGCTCCCTCTACAATAATTTCAGTCGTTGGAAGCTATGCACAAAGAGAAGAAACGAACACCCCCCTTTCTCTTCCCACCAGTGGGGCAGCTGAAGCTCTCTGAGCTTTCCTGGGATCTAGCAGTCCCCAGCTGCAGAGGTATGGGGCAACTGGACCAAGCTCACTCCCGAATAGACAGCGGGGCGGCCGTCTAAACCGTCGTGCCGGGTTGTCGTTATAACTCAAGTGCTCTGGTGGCTTTCACACTGTGAAGGAAAGCAAGCAAACTATCTGAGGAACGTTCTTGTCTCCAGGGTCTGAGAACCCAAGGGCTGACAGACAGGTGCGTATACTGTCACTGCTTTCACTATGGGATCTCTGTCTACAAAGGACTATCAAATAATTAAGTGTATTAAGTCAGGGAGTTCAAGTCAAGAATACCGTAAACATTCTTAAGCACTTTGCATCTAGAATCTTTAAATAATAAAATCACTTTTTGCTAAATATAATCAAAACAGGTTTTTGTCATGAATTTGAATTTAATCCCAGCATGGGAGGCAAAGACAGGTGGATCCCTGAGTTTGAGGCTACCCTGATCTACAGACTGAGTTCCAGGACAGCCCAGGCTACACAGAGAAACCCTGCCTTTAAAACAAAAGAAAAGAAAGGAAAGGAAGAAAGGAGAAGTTTTGCACAAATGTTCCTAAAACAGACTGCTTCTTCTCTGCTGGAAAAGGATGCTGCTCCTCCGCTCTGCTCACAAAGGACAGATTGGTGTGACTTCCCAGTCACAACACAGGCAGGTAGAGCAGGGCTCTCACCACTCACAGTGCCAATGCTATGCTCCTGGCAGTGTGTTTTCCTGGTCGCAGCCCACCTTTATTAAACTGACTGATTCTAAGACCATCAACATGTAGAACCAGCATAGAAAGTAGTACTTTTGCTACAGCAATTCTGGTCAGAGAGAACTGGAGGAGAGCCTCACTGGGAACTGCAACACACACACAAAAGGTTTCTGCCAAAGTATGTGGAGATGAGAGCAAGCTTATCTTCCTTAAAACCTCGATCCTTTCCTCTGCCTTCAACCACCTTTCAAGATACTCTGCCTTGCCCCATAAAAGACACAGAGCTAAGGATGTAGTTCAGTAGTAGAGGATGTGCCTGGCACACACAGCCATAGGTTAGCACCACAGGGAGGGCAATAATACTGTTTCTAGACCAGAGGCAATCCATCAAGGACCTCCCACGGAACCTCTACTTTGCATCCCCAAACTCAAAGCCTTTCCTTCCTTCTGTATAAAGCTGTCAAGGATGAAAGCCTTCTACAACTGCAGAATCAAATACAAGATCCAAAAGCATGGAGATTCTCCACCCAGCCACACCATGCCCAAAATGTAAACAGAAATTCTATCTTCACTACAGTTAAGGTTTCAGCAAGAGAAAAGATGTGAAGACAAAAACTGAAAAACAATTTTGTCTCAGTTGTGAGACCTGAAGATGATTAACTCATGTAAACACTGTCTTAGAATAGCTAATAGGTCATAGTCTAGCTTACCTTTTCTTCAAAACCAATGGGAGTAACTGTAGGACCACTCACAATTCGCACTGCAGGCTGCTGCCAGGCACTCTCACCACCCATAGCGCTGCAAAGCCAGCTGCATTCCCTTCCTATTTTGTTCTACAGTAGAATCCATACGGAGGAGAGAAGCCTGATGTTAAAACAGTCACCGTTAATACAGTGAACATCTTAAATGAATGTGGACACAGATGGCTTTGGAAGAGTCTCCCAAAGCCAACACTGGCTTCCTCCTAGCTAAGTTGGGTCCTGCTACGTTAGGGGTGGGCATGTGAAAGGGGGGGGCAGTAGTAGCCTTTGACCTCAAGTCAAACCACTCAAACAAGCATGGAAAACCTTCACTCCATGATTATGCAATTTCTTTACAAGAGATATTGGTGTTTTTGATCCTGGCTTGTAACAGAATCAACAATTTAAAATACTGTAAGAATTTGAAGTATAAGATTTAAAAACATAATCAAACTTGAGTTGCTTCACATCATTTCTCAAGTGATAAATGAGTGATGTTTCTAGCAGACTCAAAGTGTGTTGTTCAGCATGGGCTGAAACCTGCTTGCCTAATATCATCCCCTCCCTGCCTAATTCACCCAGGTAGCTTCGGGGAGGGTGGGACTATGACTCCAACTGCAATACTGGAGATTTCACTCAAACAGAGAAGGAACACAAGCATCTGCTGTGGTCTACTGTGACCTCAGGATGCCTGCAGCACTCTTCTCAAAGTCCTTGTATTAAAATGGAATGTACAAACTACACAATTAGTATTCCACTTGTTTAAACTGAAGGTCAATTTCCAACTCTACAAGCAGGCTAAAGTCAAAAATAAAGTGACAAATGGTAGAGAGGGGAAATTAATTACTGAAGGTAATTTTCTAATGTAAACAGCAGCTCATTTATTTTAGTTCTTGACAGCCAAATTAAGACTATAGAAAGAATGTATGTACACAATTATTTTTTAAAATAAAAAGCAACAAGCTTTTTGTGTCCAAGTATGCCTCAGACTATTTACTTTCAATGGTCAAGAATGAGAAATTTCAGGAAAACAAAACAAGAAACCCCAAAGAGTTAACACTATGCCTACAACCTGTAGATTTTTTTTTCACTAGAAGAAAAGAGTTCTTTGCATGCACATTTACTTATTTACTGACATAAGAACTTTAACTCTTACTTGTCTCACTAAATCACATCTTTAAAAAAGCATTAGACTGGGCTGTCACTGCCTAACTAACTGGTACAACATAAACGTCTTCCAGATACTCACAGCACTAAACCGACACCACTTTACTAGTATGAACCTGCGCAGCTGTCCCCTACGAGTCCTTACTCTTGTTCACACTGAAGCTTCCCGACAAAACAGGAACTGCACGTGTGGTGAAAATGCGTGCCCCATCTTTGCACTCGTGGGAAGGCCAGTGACACCTGCCACTTGGCCCTTCCATTCTCTTCTTGTTCCATGCAAGCTGCTGTGTTCAATATGCTTTTCTTAACAATGGTTCAAAGGGTAATACACATTTACTAGTAAGACAATCACTTTCCAGACAGACACAGATTAGTTCAGTGAACAAGTGAGAGACTGCTCACTTGGTAGGGGAAACAGCTTCAGAAAACCTTTCTTGACTTGAGTCCTGCTGGAAATCAGTACAAATCCACCAACTAGTCCAAGCTGAAGCGCTTGAGTTCGGGAGGCTGTTAAACACTCAATATGCACAGGTTATGGCCTGACAGCACCCACAGACCGGGTCTTCCCACAGTGAAGGAGAGGCAGCAAGTCTGTCCTCGAACTCTCCGCTCAAACAGCTAGCTAAGGAGTCTTGGTTGCTCTTTCTCGAGTTTTATAGTCACAGTCTCGCTCAGAACAGGAAACCTGTCAACATAGAAGCCAAAATGCAACACATCCAGGGACAACCTGGGGACAAAGTAAAGTTATTCGTTTTCATTCCGTAACTACTGTATATTTAACAACAAACTCATTACAGAGATACAGTCTTCATCCAATTAGTCTTTTCATTATTGCTGGTTTAGAAAATGGCCAACAATATTCATTAGGTACTGTGCCATTAACATTGCATTCAAAGAAAGAAAACATAGGAAACCAAATTCTTGCTCTCCTACTCTGATGATACGCTCTGGTATTGGCTAGAGTATGGTAGTACAAAAAGAGTCTTGTTGTGATATAAAAGGCAATAAACACATCAATAGAATAATGTTCATGGGCAGCCAAGATGAAGAAGATTCCAAAGAGGTTGAGAACCCAGGATAGAGTATGCAAGAAATTCCAGCTTCTTGGCGTATCTAGGAAAAGGACAGAAGGGTCATTTAAAAACACAGTTCTTCCGATGCTTCTTAGTCACATGCTTCTCAGGGCAGGCTGTACGCTATTGCTCCCCAACCTACCTCCCCACCTTTTTGTGCAACTCTATCTCACGTAGTCAGGCTGCCTTGAACTGGATATGTAGCTGAGGATGAACCTGGGGCTGCATGCATGGCAGGCAAGCACTCCAAGTGAGTTGCAACCCTAGCCCAGTTGCCTATTCTTCCTAGGACTTAACACCCTCCCCACTTCCTCCTCTGCGACCTGCTGTCTGATATGCACAGAAGCATTAAAGACATACTTACACTCTGTGACAAAGAAATTCAGCATGGTTAGAACAACTGTGTGGCCACTGAACATGTAATCTCCACAAGTGTGGACGCCAGTCAGGGTCATACCAAAGCCGCTCCAAATGGCAAACGCCCGGCGTAGTTTCTCCCACACACTTCCATATATCTATAAAGAAAGCTGTGAATTAGTTCTTCAAATGCTTAGAGAGGTGCAGAGCTTCCCCAAATCCATTTTGGGGAACTCTTGAGGAATAATGATTCGGAAATAAGAGCATCCAGGCAAAGGTAAACAAAGTCTAACCCAATTAATTCCAAGTGGGACCAGAGAGTGACCAAAGCTTGACTGTACTCAGAAAATGCTGCTAATTAAATGAAATCATAGTAATTCAAACTCCTTTATAGTAGAGTTACTTTAAGTGAAAACGTCAAGCTGGGCCGGGCAGTGGTGGCCCACATCTTTAATCCCAGCACTCGGGAGGCACTCTGTGAGTTTGAGGCCAGCCTGGTCTACAGATCGAGTTCCAGGATGTGCTCCAAAGCTATACAGAGAAACCCTGTCTCCAAAAACAAAATCAAAAACAAAAACAAAGAAAAATTGTCAAGCTAGGCATATAACATATGCTGAAGAGGCAGAGGCAGATATATCTCTGTGAGTTTGAGGTTAGTCTGGTCTACAGATTGAGTTCCAAGGCAGCCAGGGATACACAGAGAAACCTCATGTCAAGACAACAACAAAAGCAAAACGTAAAAAGGTCAAGCCAAGAATGATGTAACATGCCCACTATCCCAACATGCCATAGTCAGAGGCAGGAGGCTCAAGAGTCCAAGGCTATATTCTCAGTGACATAGGCCAGCCAAGGTTACATGAGATTTTGTCTTAAAACAAACAGCCACTGTAAAACAAGAACATCCCTAAGTTTTATTTTTATTTATTTACTAATTTTTATCCCATAATGCCCATGTTTAAATCTGTATTAAGATCTTTTTTTCTTCTTCTTCAAGACAGGGTTTCTCTATATAACAGCTTTGGCTGTTCTAGAACTCGATTTGTAGACCAGTCTGGCCTCTAACACACAGAGATCCACCTGCCTCTGCCTCCCATGTGCTGGGTGGGTGCGACACCACTGCCCAGCCTCATATTAAAATCTTTTAATAAGCTCCAACTTTCAGGCTGGGCCGTGGGGGCACATGCCTTTAGTCCCAGTCCTTGGGAGGAGGAAGGAGGATCACTGTGAGTTGGAGGCCAGCCTGGTCTACAAAGTGAGTTCCAGGATAGCCAGGGCCATTACACAGAGAAACCTTGTCTCTAAAATCCAAAAACAAACAAACAAACAAACAAACCCCAACTTTCTTCAAAAAGAAAAACTTGTCGGGTGGTGGTGGCACACGCCTTTAATCCCAGCACTTGGGAGGCAGAGGCAGGTGTATCTCTGTGAATTCAAGGCCAGCCTGGTCTACAGAGCGAGATCCAGGAAAGGCGCAAAGCTACACAGAGAAACCCTGTCTCGAAAAACCAAAAAAAAAAAAAAAAAACAAACAAAAAAAAAAAAAAAAAAAAAAAGAAAGAAAAACTTAGTAAGGAAATAAGCTATGCCGTGACCTCCAGACTACCATTTGACATCTACTCTCCTGTCTTCTACATCATCTACATCATCCCTGTCTTCACTGGTTACAGGAACACATACATTGATGAGGCCACGAACTCAGCCAAATCTCATCCCTCCTGGCCTTCCCCGAAGCTAGGCAGAGCCATGTTCTATACACAAAGTGTGAAAAGCAAAAGTGTGAAAGATTTCTAGGAAGCTACAGAGACACAAGGGGAGGTCTCTTCTACCATTCCACTTGCCTTCTACCTACAGTTCAGACATGGGAACTGAACCTTCAGCAGCCACAACGTGGCCCTGAGAAGCAAGCCTCAGGTAGAAGAAGAGAAAAGACAGATCATAGTGTTTGATGAGTCAATCATACTAGATTTTTTTTTCCCCTTTTCTTTTGTTTTTTTGAGACAGGGTTTCTGTGTGTAGCCCTGGCTGTTCTGGAACTCACTCTGTAGACCAGGCTGGCCTCGAACTCCGAGATCCTCCTGAGTGCTGGGATCAAAGGCGTGTGTTACCATTGCCCAGCTGGGTATTATCTTAATTCAGGGCAGGGAACAAGTAATGCCAGTCTCAAATAACCAAGTAACCACAGTCTTTTCATCTTTTCCCATTCTACGTCTCTCACACATCCTTCTAGAAACAAACTGAAACAGGTAAGAACGAACAGGAAGCTGTCTAGACAAGACATGCAAATTAGCTTTGTGTTGCTAAATTTCAAAAGTAGGCCTGTTCTCAGTTCTGTCTTGGTTCCACGATTTTAAGCCATTAATTTATCACAACGAAATGCCTATGGATCTCACTGTAAGGGATTTGGCGGCTGGTTGTTATCCCCACGACGCTCTACTTTTAAGATTGCTATAAATAATGTAGGTCAATAGGCAGGCTACATTATACTTCAAAGCAATTAGCAGCATTTAGGGCAGATTTGGATGGAAATATCCATACATAACTAATTAATAAAGAAAAGTCATCTGAGACATAAAGAGGTCTGTCCACACTGGAGAGTGACATCTAATTTGTTCTTTAGTGCAAGATGCAGCCTTCTCTTCAGTGGCTGTCCCCTGATAAACCCCTTCAAGGGCAGGACATTCTCTTATCTACATAACAAACTTCACAGGAAAGCAAATTGTTCCATGTCCACTACATTCCTTTGATATCTTTGGATCTGGAACTGCACTCAGTAGTTGCTTTAAAAAAAATCCCTCCTTGTATAAAAGAAGTATCTATCTACATTAGTCAATCAAGCAAAAGACACAAATGCCAAGTCTTCTTTGAGATCTCCATATCTCCATAGGAAAGCCCTTGGCAGGAAGCAGAGACTAGGGGTCTGACACCTCCAGCCCAGACAGAGATGACACAGGTATGTACCCCCGTGCTGCCACCTAGGAACCTCTTCTGGATAAAATGACTGCCCCAATGACCAAATAGCTCCTTCTCTCCTGAACATGCCATGTCTGTATCACCACCCCCACACCTCCAGAAGCCCCACGTACAACGAAAGACATAACATCAACACTCTGGCAGAGTCAGAGTTTGTACACGGCTCTGGAGGTATTATTGAATTTGTATACCTTTTCTTCTGTCAATCTACTGAGACTAAACTTGTCAAACTTTCAGAGGGAAAACACACGACTTCATGACAGTTTGTTCCTAGTCAATTAGCATACTTTTTGGGGAAAATGTTTTTGCCCTCACGTCAAACCACGTACGGAAATAATTTCAGGAGATTAGATTCATATATAAAGAAGACCATAAAACATTAGTTATTGTCTCTCATTAACGAGATGGCAATAACTCATGATTGATAACAAGCAGTGTGGGCGAAAAGTGAACGAAGTGGCATGTTGGCAGGAATGAAAGGCTAGCCCCTCCATCTTCATAGTCATTTCAACCTTCAGTCAAATGCAGTACTGTCATTACTGCCAAGGAATGCTCCCAACTGCTGTGACAGTTAGATCACACAACACTGGACTAGAGCAGGGTAAAGCTGGCACCTCTGTCTTCACTGAGCATCCATCTCACTTCCTGTGGATGAGTCACGTGCTGAACTCTGCTCACAGACATGCTAACATGGCTTCTATTCAACTTCATCTCCCCTTAAGGCTAAAATGCAGGTACAAAGAAAGCTAAGGATGAAAGCTGAGATGCCTTATTGTCAGCTGTCCCTGTATCCCTTCCAGACCTATGTCCTAAATCTGCGGTCACACTGGAGCCTCACTGACAGGTCACCCCATCATGAGAGCACCCTCAAGCAAGAGCAGTCACCTCATGGAACTGGCTTATTTCTTCAAGCAATAACAAGAACTGAGACCAACCAGACCACACTTTAGACCAAGGAAGTCTTATTATGTGTACTTCTTACTCTTACCCCAGTTTTTCCCTTATTTAAACCTAAAGTTCATATCAGAACCCTAAGACTGATTTAGGGGATCACTGGACTCCTCTACCTGTTCCTCTTCCCAGAGTGGCCACAATGACTGAACCTCTGTCTTCCACCACCACTAATCCCTTTAACTGGTACACTGGGATGGGTGACTCAGTTTACTCTGCTGAGACTTGGGGAGTGGGCTCCGCAGTTGAGAACATGGACTGTTCTTTCGCCGGGTGGAGGCGGCGCATGCCTTTAATCGCAGCATTTAATCACAGCACTCGGGGAGGCAGAGGCAGGTGGATCTCTGAGTTTGAGGCCAGCCTGGTCTACAAAGCGAGATCCAGGACAGGCACCAAAACTACACAGAGAAACCCTGTCTCGAAAAACCAAAAAAAACCAAACAAAACAAAAGAATATGTACTATTCTTTCAAAGGACCCTAATCAGTTCCCAGCACCTGTAAAGGAAGGCTCCCAACAGCAGCTCCAAGCAATCCAACACCTGGTCTTCGTGGGCACCCACACACATGTATATACCCAGACACATACACATACACATAATTAAAAAAATAAATCTTAAAGATTAACTTCAACCAGGCATAGCAGTGCAAGCGCATCCCTCTAATCCCACCACTCAAGAGGTTGAGGCAGGCAGCTTTCTCAAGGCCAGTCTGGTCTACAAAGCAAGTTTCAGAACATCCAGGTGTACACAGAGAAGCCTCGTCTTGAAAAAGCAAAAGACAAATCAACCAACCTCTCGTAACAATTTAAGCTACAAATCAATGAAATAATTGTTTGAAGACAAAGACATAGCTATGCACAAAGCCAAAGATGGGGTCAATATTATGGTGACATTGACTTCATGGTGGTACCCTACAGTCGACTTTAAAGGAATGTATACTTGTTTTACACAAGTTATTAAGCCAACTAAATTAGATTCTAGTCATTTCTTTTTTTGCTAATCTAATTTCTAAAGCAAAGTCAATTTTACCAATTGCTTAAAAGGAAATTACAGAGAGCAGCAACCAGGAACGTTTGAGAGAAGCTTATAGATCTGTCGCTCTAGGAAACAAAGTAAAATGGGGAAGGAACACCACTCCGGTCACCTTGTCTTCAGACAGGGTCTTGTATCTCAGGCTGCCTTGGGACTCACTATGGCAGTGGTTCTCAGCCTTCCTAATGAGGCTATCCTTTAACACAGTTCCTCAGGTTGTGCTGACCCCTACCATAAAGTTCTTTTCTTTTCTTTTCTTTTCTTTTAAAGAGATCTGGGGGCTGGAGAGATGGCTCAGCGGTTAAGAGCACTGACTGCTCTTCCAGAGGACACAGGTTCAGTTCCCAGCACCCACATGGCAGCTCACAATTGTCTGTAACTCCAAGATCTGACACCTTCACATAGACATACACGCAGGCAAAAGCACCAATTCAAATAAAATTAAAAATAAATTAAAAAAAAGAGAGATCTGACACTTTTTTTTTTTTTTAAAGATTGATTTATTTATTATGTATACAGTGTTCTGCCTGCATGTATGCCTGCAGGTGGTCAGAAGAGGGCACCGGATCTCATTACAAATGGTTGTGAGCCACCATGTGGTTGCTGGGATTTGAACTCTGGAACAGCCAGTGCTCTTAACTGCTGAGCCATCTCTCCAGCCCCCATAAAGTTATTTTCATTGCTACTTCATAACTGTAGTTTTGCTACTGTTACGAATTGTAATGTAAATAACTGATATGCAGGATATCTGATATATGACCCCAAAGGAGTTATGACCTATAGGTTGAAAATTGCTGCACAATGTGGTCCAGCTGTCCTCAAATTTGCCAATCTGTTGCCAAAGCCTCCTGAGTGCTGGGATTATAGGCATGAATTGCCATGCCCGGCTCCTGCTGATTTTTTCTTTTTTTTTTTTTTTTTGCTTTGTTAACTAAAGGCCTGAGTGAGTCTGGCAAGATGGTTCAGTGGGTAGAGGCACTCCTGGGCAGGCTCAATAACTGAAGTTCAATTCCTAGGTCTCACAAAGTGGCAAGAGAGAACTGGTTCTCTGTCCTCTGAACCATACATTCATGCTGTGGTATATGTATACCTGCACTTGCATGTGCATACGCATACATACACATACACATACACATACATACACACACACACACACACACACACACACACACACTAAATTTAAAATGTTTTTGATAGATATTTTTTGAGTGATGTCTGGAGACCAAAAGCAAACGTGGATAACGTTCATTGCTACTCTTCAGAAAGAAAGGTTACTTAAAAAGAACAAAGTTACAAAGTGTACCTCTGTCTAAAATACCATCCTGGATTTTTTTCAAGCCAGCATTTTAGGAATATGTATCACAATTTAATGCACCTGTCCTTAATACTATAATTCTATTTCCAAAAATTCAGAGGTTAAGTACAACTGAAGACAGCTCAGAGGTAAACAGTGCTTGCCTATCATGTGCAAGGCCTTGGGTTTAAGGTTCCTCCACAAAACAAGAAGAAAAGCTCTAATGTTTAGGAATATTTACTATGAGCCAGGTGGTGGTGGAACATACCTTTAATCCTTGCACTCAGGAGGCAAAGGCAGGTCAATCTCTGAGTTCTGAGTTCAAGGCTAGGCTGGTCTACAGATCGAGCTCCAGAATGGCCAGTGCCATACAGAGATACCCTGTCTCAAAAAAACCAAAATAAATAAATAAATAAACTATTTACTGTTTAAAATATCTTGGAAACAAGTAAAATTTACATCATTTAGGCCGGGCGGTGGTGGCACACGCCTTTAATCCCAGCACTCGGGAGGCAGAGGCAGGCGGATCTCTGTGAGTTCGAGGCCAGCCTGGGCTACCAAGTGAGTTCCAGGAAAAGGCGCAAAGCTACACAGAGAAACCCTGTTTCGAAAAACCAAAAGAAAAAAAAAAAATTTACATCATTTATAATCTGGGGGATAGGGAATCTTATAATGGAATATCACGCAGCAATTAAAAGGATGAACTTTTTAAACAGGTGACTATAACTATGATTTGTTTGTTTGTTTTGTTTTTGTTTTTTTGTTTTCCGAGACAGGGTTTCTCTGGGTAACAGCTCTGGCTGTCCTGGAACTCACTCTGTAGACCAGGCTGGCCTACAACTCAGAGATCCACCTGCCTCTGCCTCCCAAGTGCTGGGATTAAAGGTGTGAGCCACCACTACCTGGCTATGTACTCTTTACAAAAAAATTCATTAATGAGACTGGGGAGATGGATAAAGTGCTTCTATGCAAACGTGCCTTAAGTTCAGATCCCTAGAACCCATGCCAAGAAAAAAATGCCAAAGGCTAGTTGGATATAACAGCCCACTTGTAATCCCAGCATGAAAACTGGAGAGAGGAAATCCCCAGAGCAGCTGGCATGCTAGCTGAACTGGTGGCTCCAGGTTCATCCGAGACCCTGCCTCAATAAATAAGGTGGAGACTGATCAAGAAGAGAACCTGACACCAATCTCAGGCCTCACACAGATATACAAGAGAAAGAAGTAAATAATGTACCAATCAATACCTTAAACCTGCCAGGTGGTGGTGGCGCACGCCTTTAATCCCAGCACTCGGGAGGCAGAGGCAGGCGGATCTCTGTGAGTTCGAGGCCAGCCTGGGCTACCAAGTGAGTCCCAGGAAAGGCGCAAAGCTACTCAGAGAAACCCTGTCTCGAAGAACCAAAAAAAAAAAAAAAAAAAAAAACCTTAAACCTAGTTACAGACCCGCCTCCGCAATATGTCCTTCAGTTGAAGGATGTCCATCAATGTCTTATCAGAGTAAATCAAAACTCTACTTAAAAATGATTTCTGCTGCTGGAGGTACCTAACAACTTTAATCCTAGCAGCTCTGAGGCAGGGACAGGAGGATGTCTGTGAGTTCCAGGCCAGTCTGATTTACATAGTGAGTTCTTGGCCATCCAGAGCTGCATCGTGAGACTCTGCCACCGAGGGAGGGAGGACTGGAGGAGAGAAAGAAGAAACTCCAAACCAGATCTGTTCAAGGAGACACAACTGTTAACAGTTTTACTTGCAGGCTGGGATAAAAAGGGTTCTTTCTATGTGAGCTTCTGCTCTTTATATACATTTACATATAATTTCAGTTCTTACAAGAAACATGTACAATTTTGTAATAAAAAGATGTTTTTCTGCCAGGTGATGGTGGCACACGCTTTTAATCCCAGCACTCGGGAAGCAGAGGCAGGCAGATCTCTCTGAGTTTGAGGCTAGCCTGGTCTACAGAGTGAGTTCCAGGACAGCCAGGGTTACACAGAGAAACCCTGTCTCAAAAAAAGGAAAAAGAAAAAGAAATGCTTTTCTATATTGAAAACACAAAACTCCCCAACAGTTTTTAACCTTAAAAAATGTTTGCTTTTGAGAAGTCTGAAATTGCACTGGGTCCTTCTCAGTGCTCAGTCTCCCACGCCTCATGCCTGGAGACTTTTGGGGCCCTTCCCCTCAAGGGCAGCAGTTTCAGCTCTTCATCTGCTTAATCTTCCTTCCACAACTAGTGTGTCAGCTGTTTCCACCACTGCCAGAGAAGCAACGGCACCTACTTTTGTTTTACAAACAACATTAAAGTAACAACAAAGGGCCGGGTGGTGGTGGCACACGCCTTTAATCCTAGCACTCAGGAGGCAGAGGCAGGCAGAGCTCTGTGAGTTCGAGGCCAGCCTGGTCTACAGAGCGAGATCCAGGACAGGCTCCAAAACTAAACAGAGAAACCTTGTCTCGAAAAACCAAAAATCAAACAAACAAACAATAAAAAAAAAAAAAAAAAAAAAAAAAAAAACAAAGGTGTTAATGTAGCCACCAAGTCTCCTGTCTGAAAAGTAGGTTAATAATTTTTTTGCCCAAATTTAACCATTCACAATTTTGTGTATCAAGGGCACATGACACCTTCAACTTTTGTTTTTGTTTCTTTCTTTTTTTTTTTTTTTAGATTTATTTATTATGTATACAGTGTTCTACCTACATGCCAGAAGAGGGCACGAGATCTCATTACAGATGGTTGTGAGCCACCATGTGGTTGCTGGGAATTGAACTCAGGACCTCTGGAAGAGCAGCCAGTGCTCTTAACCTCTGAACCATCTCTCCAGCCCTTGTTTTTGTTTCTTTTAGAGGAGATCTTTCTACATAGCCTTGGCTGTCCTGGAACTCAGTTTGTAGATCAGGCTGGCTTCAAACTCACAGAGATTTACCTGCCTCTGCCTCCCAAGTGCTGGGATTAAAGGCCTGTGTAACTACACCCAGTTGAGATCCTCAACTTTTAAAATTATTTTATTGATTTTTTAAAAAATTAATTAGTGTGTGTGTGGTGGGGGGGTGAGTATTGGGGACTAAACCCCAGGACCCTGTATACATTAGGGAGTCATTCTATCACTGAGCTCAAATTTAAAAAAGAGATCTTACCCTAGATCTTAGAATAAAAATGACAACAATTTATAACCCACTTTTTTGTTCCTTATCAGCATAATTTGTCCTCTCTATTTAACCAGAAAAGGATATATCAACAATACAACAAAACAGGAAGTTATAAGGCACACACCAAAACCGAAGGAAAAAAAATCCATCAATATTTCATATATCCTAGAAAGTTTACAGAGTGCTGGGTTAGTTTTAATTGGAAAATGCTTCAACTGTATAAAGAAAAGGACTGATGAAAGCAATAAGGGACCAGAGCATACCACATGAAGACCTAAGTGAATCAAGGGTGATGTGATCCAAATGCATTGTGAACATGCATGAGGGTGGAATAATGAAACCCTTTACGGCACACAATTAATATACACTAATAAAAACACTATAAAAAAGATGCAGAGTGCAGTGAAAAAGGGAAACGGAGCAGAAAAAGATAGTCAAAATAATCTTTCCCATAGTCTCCTAACACAGAACTAATACCCATGATGGAATCACAGGGAGATAGGTCTAGCTTAAGGTTACTTAACCCGGTTATTTCTGTTAGGTTGACTGCTGATACTGCACATACGAGAAATCACATTTAACCCGGAAGCCCGATCTCTGCCTTCCTGCGCATACTGTGTATTTTGCAGAGGCCCAATCAAGAACACAGGGACGGTGGCGGCTACCTTTCCAGTACACTGCAGGTGCTGTCCCGGCACCGAGAGGGAGGTCACAAACATGGTGAAGCAGCGAAGCAAGAAGACGGTGCCCATCAGACTACAGAGCCTGCGCAGAAGGATCGACCTGTGAACAGTGATCAAAGCAGAAATCAGACACTGCCCAAACTCTCCTGGAGAGAAAGCAGGGGAAAACCACTAGTCTTTACGGAACAGAAACCTTCCTCCCACTTAGAAGTTCTGTATTAAAAGGAAAACCATAGAGACAAATGGGTCAGTGTTTGCCTGGGGCCGGGGCTGGGACTGGAATTAATAATGAAAAGACAAGAGGGAATGTTCAGATGGTGTTCTAAAATATAGACTGTGGCAGTGTTTGCTCATGAGTTGTTTACTAAATGTAGACCTGTAAACTTAAAGGTAGAAAAACTTATTATATTTAAATTACACTTCTATAAAGCACTTGGGATGTGTATATGTATATGTGGTTTTATTATACCTGCACACAAAACAATGGGTTTCATTATGTATGTGTATTTACATTTTAATTTGGAGGAGAAGAATCTTAGGAGACCATCTAACATGACTAACATAACCCACTAGAGTTCTGCAGTGATGGGGATGTTCTATATGCCACATAGCCAGCTAAATACAATTGGCTCTTGAGCACCTAAAATGAGGCTCAGGTAAGTAAGATCTGAATCTAATATTAATTAATTGAAATTACAATAGCCGTATGCAACTAGTGTGGATCTGAAAGAGCATTCTTTTGATGGTAAAATGTGACCCTACAAAAGTGGAGGGGTTTCTTTTTGTTTGTTTTTCAAGTCAGGGTTTCTCTGTGTAGCCTTGGCTGTCCTGGAACTTGCTTTGTAGACCAGGCTGGCCTGAGATCCGCCTGCCTCTGCCTCCTAAGTGCTGGGATTAAAGGCTTGTGCCACCACCACCCATTTAAAAGTGGAGTTTTCAAGACAGAAGTAATACTGGGAAGCTTAATATTAGTACTATTATTTATAATTTATTCAAAAAACTTTAAGGTTTATTTTGACTGTTTTTAATTACGTGTAGGTATGCATGTTTGCCTGTGGGTGTGTGCATGGGAGTGCAGGTATCTTTGGAGGCCAAGGGTGTAGGATGGCCTGGACTGGAGTTACAGGCAGTGGAGAGCCCGCCATTCAGCATGGGCACTGAGAACTGAACTCCAGAGCCATGGAGAGAGGGCAGCAAGTGCTTCTGTTACGAGTCACCTTGCCAGCCCTGAAGATGTTTATAGGAGTGACTCCATCACTTGCGATGCCACTGTTGCTCATTAACAGCACGAAAACAGCTCACAAGAGTGGCTATCTGAAGTTATTCTAAGTTGTCCCTAACTTAAACTTAAGCTATGAAAATAACACTAAGTTTTATATTCAAGGATATCTAAAACAGAAACTCTGAATAAGCATAACTTGAGTAATTATAAACTGTCGTATCACTTGTTCCTTTATTATTTTAAATGCCCCAAATCTAAACAGACTAAGAGTTTGGGGACTTTCTCTCAAGAGCAGTACCGAACACAAGGCAAGGTATGTTTTCATCTTTAGTGTGCACATCTGGATGGAGCTTAGGAACCTGCACTTCAACAACCTTTCAGAGGATTGCAATCAGTGATACAAAGATGACATTTGAGAAATAGCTTCTTGGACTAAGTAAACATCGCCTCCTGAGTTTTTCTACTTTAAACCCCATTACTTGGATTTACCTGGTCACTACTACACTTCACGGAGTCTACCAAGGTTTCTTCTAAGGTTAAATTTGTTCTTATTTTCAAGAGTGGATAGATTCAAGTTCACAGGGTCTTGTGAGCCAAAGTTAACCAGAGAGCAGTGATACACACACTTTTAAACCATTTCCTCTTCAAATAGGAGTACACACAGGACACAATGAGAAATGTGGCAAAAATAGCAGTCATCAACCTTTCTTTTCACCTTCAAAGTACTAAAATAACTGCAGCTCAGGATGCATGTGGCGACCACAGACTTCCTTGTGAGGAAAGAGGTTCCCAATTGCAAGACACTCAGTCATTCCTCTTCAGGGTTCTAAAAACAATGGGCAGCAGCTAACCACAGACAGTTTTTAATGTTTTCTTCATCACTAAGCCTTATTCTCTTTCCCTTTTTTTTGGACACCTAGCAAGACTCACTCATGTAGAAAAGGGGTCTTCCCATACTTATGCCTTCTTTGCTCTAATTATTTATTCTATTTATTTATCTATTTTGGTTTTTCAAGACAGGATTTCTCTGTGTAACAGTCCCGGCTGTCCCGGAACCCGCTCTGTAGGCCAGACTGACCTCACAGAGATCCACCTCCTCTCCCTCCCGAGAGCTGGGACTAAAGGTGTGTGCCACCACCACTGAGCTGCTCTTTCCAGTTATCATTTTTCAAAAGTTTTCCCTTGGTATTTCTCGGTGCAAGGGTCAAGGAGCACTCTCCCATTTAGCAGCTTCACTATCTCAGATGTGCAGAGCATGCAGGACAACCTTGTTTAATGGGCTTTTTCCCTCTACTCAAATGCTTAACCAACACTATCTTTGGAAGCATTTCAATGTTTCTATAGAAATGGCATTTCTAGCTTGTTTCTGCAGAAGAAGAAAGGAGAAATATGAGAGGGAGAGGAAGAAAAGAAAGAGAAGGAAGAGGAGGTAAAAAGAGGGAGAGGGAGGAGGGGAAGGAGGAGGGAGGAGGAGGAGGGGGAGGGGGAGGAGAGGGCTAAACTAGCAAGGACTGGCCCAAGGCTGACTACCCTTTTCCCTATAAAATACATTCACAATATTACTAAATATATTGGTCTTACGACCTTCCTTAACTAAGCCCCCAATTTTCTTTTGTAGAAAGCTATGTCACACTGAGCAGAGGAAATCTTCCAGGGCAACACAGAGGAAGGACCAGGCTTGACAACCCGACATGAGAGTCAGATATTTTCAGTCTTTAGGAATCGGGACTACCTGTGCTTGTGAAGAAGAAGAACGAGGATCCAAATGTAGCACAGGATCACGCCACACACTTCAGTCATGGAGAAGGCCCACGGGATCCTGGGAACACTGCAACAGAAAAACAGTTCTTTTTGGAACTGGAGACGAGCAGATACATCCCTTTTCAATACAATGCTTGACTCAGAACTGCTCTGTAGAACTTTATCTCCCTCAGGAGATGATATCTGGAAAGCCTGGGGGGTTAAAAATCAGCTTCATAAACTATCCCTCTCATCAGAATCTATTAGCTGTCCTGAATTCCAGTAATGATTCTCTGTAAAGAAATAACAACCTGGTGCCTGTCCTGGATCTTGCTCTGTAGACCAGGCTGGCCTCGAACTCACAGAGATCCTCCTGCCGTAGCCTCCCGAGTGCTGGGATTAAAGGTGTGCCCACCACCGCCCAGCTCTCAATATCTTTTTCTTAAATTAGATTTTATTTGTGTGTGTGCCCTTGGAGTTTACAGCAACTGTGCGGTGCCTGGTGTGGGCATAGGTCTTCTGCAAGAGTAGTACACACTCTGAAACCTCTGAGCCACCTCTCCAGCCCAGCATCCAATCTCTTAAACTGTGAGTTATAGGACTTGAATAAAGAAGAGAGTCTGCACAAAATTAAGTAAATAACTGAGAAAAAAAAATGACTACAGTAGTAAAAAGTTTGTGAACTTGGAAGAAACAAAACCCAGTTCATCATGCAACATGTAATGAGTCCGAAGTGTTTCTGCAGTCCCACCTCACCCGCACCGCACCGCACAGCTTTACTGCAGTCTCGGTTCTCGTGGTTCTGAACACAACACACACTTCACACTGCATGCCATCACTCCTTACAACGCCAGTGAATGCTGCCTGGAACACCTCAGCTCAGATTCAAAGACTGCTCTATGTTAGGAAGCGCAGTGTCTTTACTATACAAAGTCTGCTCTGAGGGGAAAAAAATGCTTTAATTATAAAAAAACAGATGTAATCATCAATTTTCCTATTTGCTACTCTCCTCAGCATGTAAGCAACAAATTATCATACCCTTGGGTTGTCTTCTGTGACGATGGCTGACTTAAAAAATTGCTGTGGCTGGGCCGGTGGTGGCACAGGCCTTTAATCACAGCACTCAGGAAGCAGAGGCAGGTAGATCTCTGAATTCAAGGCCAGCCTGGTCTACAGAGGGAGTTCCAGGAAAGCTAGAGCTACACAGAGAAGTCCTGTCTCAAAAAAAACAAAAAAATTGTTACATGAATTTTGGCTCAGGATTAGAATAACATTTCCAACAATTTCTAAATGGCCCTGAACAGCTGCCATTTTGTATTATGAATTTATGTGAAGTGGTATTCTCAGAATTGAGGACTATAAAAAAAATAAAAAATATTGATTAACTCTGAAAAATACAGAAGATGCTGTATTCTCAAGTATCAAATATTTTGGCAAGATTTAATTTTTTATGTAAAAATAAACAAGAACGTTTTATTATTATGTACATTTGCCTTCTCAACTTTAGTAATAGTAAAATTATACGCATGTCAAAAGAATTATCTAAAAATAAATTTATGATATATTATCAGCAAATGTATGATTTGCTAGGACCAAAGGCATGTGCCACGACACTCTTAAAAAACCTTTAGAAATAACATACATATAAGCAGGAGATCCACCTGCCTTTGCCTCCTGAGTACTGGGAACAAAGGTGTTTGCTACCATGCCTGGCTTATATGTAGTTCAAGGACAACCAGGGATATATAGTGAGGCCCTACCCCCAATAAGAAATACATACGTACACACAAAAGTTTAAATAATTTTACAATACTTAGGATAAAAGTAAATCTTCTACTTCTTCTCCAAACTAAACCGAACTACTGCTCCCCAGTTTTACTCTATTTTATCCCACATTAAATCATTTAGTAACACACCCACACACATCTAACACACACACACACACACACACACACACACACACACACACACACACACACACACACACATACACACACACACATGCCCTTCTACCTTTGTAAGAGTCTCTCACCCACTATTTAATAATTTTGCTTAAGAACAGTTGTTTTAGCTTTTACCCAATATAAGCTTATATTCATACAAAAATTATGATGAAACTCCTTTCTGTAAAACTTCTTATAATTTCTAGATCTAATAAAAACCTCTTTTTAAAAGTTTTCCAGGTACTTACTGATGGTCTCTCCCTACTCCCTCCCTCTCTCCCTGTTACTCCTTGTTATAATGGTATATAATGGCATTCTTGCTCCCTTATTTTTATTTCTCTTCCTGTGATCTTGCCCTTTGCCCTACCACAGCAACCAACACTCACTGTTATAACCTGAACCTTGTCATTATTAATATTTCTCCTCAGACCTTCAATTTCAAGAATCCTATGCTTTAGGCATAATATATAAAATATACACATAAAACCCCAAACCAAAACAAACTCCAGGTCACCCTACAATCAGTAGGGCATCCTACAGTACAGCCTCATCCAAACAAAGTAAAGCCCAGTGATCAAGTTCTACGTCCACTTCTTTGTAATCCTTAACTAACCTTACAGATCCGACTGTCTCCAATTCCCATTTCCTCCCATCACCACCAATTTCTTTGAAAAAACCCTGATCCTTCTGAAAAAAGTACAAACACAAGTACTTACTACTCTCCACTTAAATCGTCCAATTATTTATATTTAATGTTTTGCCATCTTTGCTTCATTTCACACATTTGAGAGTCCTCCAAAGTTACTCCATGTATCTCGGGGACTAAGGACAGACCTCAGACGGCTGCGCCCTGACAACTGCAGCACCGGTTCTTGGCATCATGTTTAATATGCAGCCCACATTCACACTTTAAGGATTCTCAACACGTCCTTAACAACTCAATTTGCTTGATTAGGATCCAATGACCAGGTATTGAGCTGGGTGTGTCCCTTCCATTTCCCTCACAACCCCCGGGTTTTACTATGACACCGACATCTCTGGAGACTCTAGATGAGCTATCACGTAGAATGCTCGTTTTTTGTGTCTATTTCCTCGTCATCAGATTTAGGTTAAAATTTTCTGAGGGGCAAGATTATCAGATTATCTCAAGGCGATGCTTTGAATATTACATCTAGTGCATGCTGTCAGCTTGTTCCACTGTGATGGCGGATCTGACCATGTGGTTAGGATGATCTTTGTCAGGTCCCAGCACTGTGAAAGTACCTGTTTCCTCTGCAATTAAATAATATGAAAGATGAAACTTCAATCATGCAAAAATGCTGTTGCTCAGCGGCTTTCCATCAAATGGATTTCAGCATCCACTGATAACTTGCCTGAATCAATTGTACATTGAAGGATACAGGCAGCTTCACTTTGCATCCACTATTTCTTGTCTGTTTACTAGTCACAGATAATTGTCCTTAATGCTTTAAATCCATGACTATCATTCCTTTTTATAAACAGGAAGAACAGTTTATTGAGTATACTGTAGGAGGTGAGCAGGCTGAGTAGTAACCAGAATACTATTCCCTATAACAGCTGGTGTCCCCACAAGCTTGCTTACAGATAGAGCTTGGTGGCAGAGCACTTACCCTACATGCACTTGGCCCTGGGCTCAATCACCAGCAACGGAAAACAAGGTTGCACTGCTCATTTTTAAAAACCACTGAAGTAAAAACAGTTGTTACTTACTGTTCTTTTCTTGTTTTTCATAACCAGACTATTTATTTTTAGTTTTTCAAGATAGGGCTTCGCTTTGTAGCCCTGGCTGTCCTGGAACTTGCTTGGTAGACCAGGCTAGCCTAAACTCACAGAGATCTGCCTGCCTCTGGCTCCCGAATGCTGGGATTAAACACACAACACTGCCTGGCTCTTTTTCTTTCTTTCTTTCTTTTTTTTTTTTATTAATGTTTATTTTTCAAACTTTAAAAAAATTTAAATTGATGTTTTACCTGCATGTATGTCTGTGTGAAGGTGTTGGGTCCCCTAGAACTGGGCTTATAGACAGCTATGAGATGCCATGTGGGTGCTGGGAATCAAACCCAGGTCCTCTGAAAGAACAGCCCCCCCCCCCCCCCACGCCAAGACAGGGTTTCTCTGTGTAGTTTTGCACCTTTCCTGGATCTCGCTCTGTAGACCAGGCTGGACTTGAACTCACAAAGATCCCCCTCTGCCTCCTGAGTGCTGGGATTAAAGGCGTGCACCACCACCACCGCCCAGCCAGCCAGTACTCTTAACTGCTGAGCCATCTCTCCAGCTCCCGACCATTTCTTTTTTATTTAATATATAATAGTTTTATTCAGTACATAATAAAAACAAAATCAATCCCTGAATTAATTTGTACTACTGGAAATAAATTTGATTCATCTGGTGGTATTTTTAGGAAAGTAGAACCCTTTTCACCATTTAAAATAAATTTTTAAAAAAAGAAAGGCAGCTAAGTCTACTACAAACATTCTCCTAACACTTATAAACGTCCCAGAGTCGGAACCTGCGGTCCACCCACCTCAGTTTCCAGAGTAAGGCATGTGCCACCAGGCTCGGCAAAGCCCGTCATCTGATGGCACCAGACAAGGCAAATGGAGTATACATGTCAGCTATAACCACAACGCTATTATCCACATTACCACTGCCGAGGCTCTAGAAACCTTCTACAAACTTGGCATCTAGAAACAAAACCTACCTGTCTAAGAATATATCCGGGAGTGGTGGGTAGGTCTGCATGTCAGGCACTCGCTCGTGAACAATAACCATAATGAAAGATGTAAACCCAAATACTATAAAAACATATACACAACTCAGTATGGTCTTCCAGTACTCTGGGTCCAATCTTCGAACAGAATGTTTGCTCTTGCCATTCATGTACTGGTACTGCTCAGAACTCAAGTCAGTGATGGGTCCATCGCAGTTGTGTGTGGGCTCTCCGTTACAGAGCCAGTCTGCACTCTGAAGAGCACTGATGAATGGAGTCATGGGACTCATGGGGCTGTCACTGTTGTAGCCCATCTCCTCCAAAACATCAATATGGATTTTCTGCAATTTCCTGACCGAGAGCATTAACCTTTTAATGTCTCCTAGGACTTTGATTTCCAGAGGAGGAGATCGAAGATCATATTCAGTCAGTGTGAGTAATGTGACTCCATCCAGTCGGTGCTTGTTGCATAAAATGTCCACATATTCCAAGAAACCTTCATCCTTCAGCCACACTGCTACATGCTTAGTAGTCCAGCGGCGAATGCAGAGTTGACTAGGGCCTGCCATCTCTTCCTCCACTGACTGTCAAAGGAAAACAAAACAAAACTAGAATGTAGTCCAACATCTTCATTAAAGACCAAATGCAAGTGCGAATACCAGAAACAATAAAGTACCACCACTATTGCCCCCACTGGCTTCCGTAGTCAAAGAAACAACAGTTATTCAGTAATGAGTATTTTCAATAGATTAACATTCTAATAATTTTAAGAGGCTGATAGCAGGTGTTTCAGTTTTATGGAGGACAGTTGTTGAACCCAGGACTCACACAGGATAAGTGATCTACCCAGCTTTAACACTTTAGAAAAAGGAGTTTTACAAATGGTGTTTCCACAGCATGTCAACAATGATTACTTCCAAAGATTACTATTGAGAACACTGGAGGGGTAAAAATCCCATTTTAATGCTTTTTATAAAATGAAATCTATAAAAGACATATGGGAAAAGCTAAATTTCTGAAATTGTCATGTTCATGGTTAAAAAAATTTTCCCACTTGAGGTAGAAAAGAACAAAATTACAGATAGTAAAATTCCAGGAAACTTCAGATTTGTACATCTCTATCTACTATATATGAAATGATTTAGCCAACAGATAAAAAGATTTTAAAATAGCTATGAACTTCAGCTAAGTTCCGACTAGCCTTTGAAAGTCCCACTGCAGAAGTGAAAAGGCACTTCTGGGAGTTAGTGGTCAGAGTTTTAAAAGAAAACTGCCATTTCACTATACTCATAAATAAGAAGCAAAATTCAGATTACAGTTATAAAAGGCTATTTAAGTGCACTAGTTTTAAAAGTACTGATAATTTTTGCTACTTTGATCCTACTCAGGCTATATATGTTTTTTTCTCTTGTAAAACTTGGGTCTATTTCAAGTTTTTAAAGTGTATCAGATACATAGAAAACAAAGGCTGATACAGAAAAAAGGGATAACAAAAACTACTTCTCATGTGTCTACTTCTTGGACTATTAAAACCTGAGGGTTTTCTGGATTTCTAATAATTCACTATATTTCCTTCTGAATAATGTTTAAAAACTGGACAAGTATTTTTTAATCCACAATGATACAATAAATACCCAGTTTTTAAAGAAAAAAAAAACAGCTGCAGTAAAATGTTCTGGGTAGATTGAGTTATATGTTTCTTTTGGGAAAATTCTAAGCTATACTATACAGTCTGAAAAAGAACTTGCTTTAAAAAGTAAAACAAAAGTTGGTGGTGGTGGCCCACACCTTTAATCCCAGTACACCTTTAATCTAGAGGCAGAGCCAGGCGGATATCTGTGAGTTCAAGGCCAGCCTGGTTTACAGAGTGAGAACCAGGACAGGCACCAAAACTACAAAGAGAAACCCTGTGTCAAGAAAAAAATAAATAAATAAAACAATCCAGGCGGTGGTGGCGCACGCCTTTAGTCCCAGCACTCACAAGGCAGAGGCAGGTGGATTTCTGTGTGTTGGGGCCAGCCTGGTCTACAGAGTGAGTTCCAAGACAGCCAGGGCTGTTACACAGAGAAACCCTGTCTTTAAATTCCCTCCCCCGCTGCCCCCCCCCCCCAAAAACAGAAAAGAAAAGTTAATATAACTGAATACCCTCCAGGACAAAGGTTTTCCACAATGTCTGAGACAGCATCGTCTCTCTCCTCCCACCCAGATGATGCTCTGATCTCCTGACTTAAGCATTTCTCATGGCTTTAGAGCACACATTCTGGAGTCAGGAAAAACATCTCAGCTTCCTTAGGCTGAGGAAAGGAAAAGGCAGGTAATGTTACAGTCTCCCCTTCCCACACAAAACACTTGTCACAAAGACTTAGTATCACTGAACAAAAGCAGATCTATGAACTAATAAGCTCACTCATATCAGCAAAAGTATTCAGGAAATAAGAGACAGACTTGATGAGATTCACCCAAAGATGAAAATGTCCATCGTTAAGTATTTTGTCTTGATACTAAAAAAGCAATCCTCGTTTTTTGGAAAGATTAAAGTATATTTCATTATCAACCCACATTTTTTCCCAATCTTAGAAAATTAACATCTTATCCATCAACAAGGAGTTTGTATTTTAAGTCTGCTGCAAAGTTACAATATAGCATATGTAAAACTCCAGTAAACTATGGTTTTGCAACGTTTAAGTTTACACTCCTTGCCAAATGGTTTCACCCTTTCTGCTACATCTGCATATTCCTTTCCCAGTCCGCTCCGACTAAATCACCAAACTTGGATACACAACAACACACTATAAACGCAGCAGCAGTTACCAAGTAGCAAACCTCATCTACAACAAGTAAAATTCCCCTTTATCTCCACTCTCCTACTTTCCCTTCTCCAGTGACTTACCACCAGCGGGTTCCAAGTCACTCCCATCCTTGGAGCATTATTCTTTAGTACAGTTTTATCTCACACTCTGAGCAAAATGATTCTTCTCTTCTTTCACATTTCTCCCCATATTAACTCACCAGTTCTTTCAACTTCAATCAAGCTTTGATGCCCATGCTTTAACCACTAGATAATATGAGTACCAACATAGAAGCCTCCTAGGAGCCTTTGAGCTTGCTGTGGGAATGCCTTAAAAGCATGACACATTTCACCACTCTGCCTCATCCAGGTTAGTGCATGTCCTTTAATTGTGTGCTACTACATAATAGTTACAGGGCCACAGTAACCAGTACTTACTCCAACTGTGAGAACTTGTACTAAAAAGAATATTAAGAATGACAGTAAGCTTCAGGGTCCATTTAATAGTCATGTTGTACCACAGGAATTCCAGGGAACAGAAAATTTTGAACAAAGAATACGACAGACACTGGTTTTATACAAATCAATAAAATGAATTTTGGTCAGTAAATGTTTAAGGATGCTTTCTGTTTTAACTAATAATTGATTCACATCAATTATCTGTAGGACTGCTGCTTCTGGCCAAGATATAAAAACAGAACAAATTTTACTCTCTCATTTGAAGTAATCAAATGATGAATAAAATACATGAAAAAGATTCAAAATGATGGACATCTCAGCCAAATCCCTGAGAGATAGTAAACAAATGAGGTGGACTCACAGTATTCAGGAGAGGCCTAAGACAAGAAACGCGGGTGAGCTGAGCTCACCAAGGTGGCTGTATTTGTGGGGCACTCCGATGGAGAACTGAGAGATCCACAGGGGTTCTCCCTTGAATACTCACCAGAACATGCACTTGTTAAGATGGAGAAGAGACCATTCAGGATCCCCAACCTCACACATGGACAAAAAGCCAATCCCAATCAGACTGACCAACAGTTCACAATTCACGGGATTTTAGAACACACAATAGCAATGGGGCAAAATCAAATCTAAACCCACAGTTCTCAGCCAAGGCTAATTCCCCCACTTTCCAGGACAGTCAACAGTATGTGGATGTATTCTTCATTGTCTCCACTTGGTGAGGGGTTACCAGCATGTAGGAAGTAGACACAAGGGTGCTGGTAAAAATCCTAGAATGCAGGGGTTGGGGATTTAGCTCAGTGGTAGAGCGCTTGCCTAGCAAGCGCAAGGCTGTGGGTTCAGTCCTCAGCTCCGGGAAAAAAAAAAAACAACAAAACAAAAATCCTAGAATGCTGCATACCTACAACTCAGCACCCTGGAGGCCAAGCCAAGGTGATGGTGAGTTCAAGGCCAGAGTGGACTACACAGAGAAAATTTATCAGAGACTATATAGTGAGACCCTCTGTGCTGTCTATTTTTATCTAACTTGACACAGGCTAGAGTCATCTGAGAGGAAAGAATCCCAACTGAGAAAATGCCTTTACAAGATTGAGCTGCAGGCATGACTGTACAGCATTTTCTTAATTAGTGATTAATGAGGGAGGGCCCATCCCATTGTGGGTGGGGTCATCCCTGGGCTGATGGTCCTGGGTTTATAAAAAAGCAGACTGAGCTAGACATGAGGAGCAAGACAGAAAGCAGCACCCCTCTATGGCCTCTGCATCAGCTCCTGCCTCCAGGTTCCTGCCCTGTTTGAATCCTGTCCTGACTTCCTTCAGTGATGTGGAAATGTAAGCCAGTCCCCCCCTCCCAGCCCCCACCACCAAGTTGCTTTGGTTATGATGTTTCATCACATCAGTGATAACTGTAAGACACCCTCCCTCAAAAAAAAAAAAAAAAAATCTGCCAGGAATGGTGGTGGCAGATGCTTTAATCCTAGCACTCAGAAGATAAAGGCAAGTGGATCTCTGTGAGTTCAAGGCCAACTCGGTCTATTATAGCAAGTTCCTGTTGCAGGAATTTAGCAGTCCTGTATCTGGGGTAGATATTAGAATGAACAGTTCTCACTGTATCCAGGGTAAACATTAGAGTAAATAGTTGTTTTCTAGAAGTTACTCTGACCTTGAAGAATCTTTGTGGAAAACAGTGATTGATTTCCATGATTTGTGGAATTGTTTTTCTGAAGGGGCGTTGCAGTCTTCGAATGACTTTGGTCACAAGATGCCTCTGGCACACCATTATGTATTGCAAATGACACACAGTAAAGACTAAAGTCATGAGAGCATGTGATGCTTTCCTTTAGAGAGACGTATAGATTAGATAGCACCTTGGTATGAGGAAGTACTTTACCCAAAAAACAACTTTGTGTAACAATCAATAAATAGGCCTTTGTATGGCTGTTTGGTGTACAGTTCATCAGAGGCTGGACCTTCCTGTTTCCACACAGGCCTTAAAATTTCATGTTGGAGTGACTTCTTTCTTCAACTGACCCATGCAACATAGACTATCCCAACAAATTCCAGACCAGTCAAAGTTACACAGAGAGACCTTGTCTCAAAACAAAAATCAGCAGAAAACTATGGTGTACTGGAATCCTAGCTCTACAAACAAAAGAACTGTTTGTCTCCCAAATGTCATTTTGCTGTTAATGAGAAAAATTACCCTAGGCTACATATACCTTTCTCTGGTCTAGCCTCACAAATCTTAAATGTACCTTGCAAGTTCAGGAATCTTTATAGGATATATAAGAATATAAAGGTATCTAGAATCCAAAAGCAAGATATTATAATCCAT